CCATCATTGAAGCAAATGATTAAGAGTCTCATATACACATTTTGTCTTTAAACACACTGAACATTCAGCAATATATACATAGAACTCTTCAATAATTAACACCTCCACTGATATTATAACTGAACTATGTGATATTCCTAATGGAGAACTGCACCCTAAACTTGGGAAACTCAGAGAAAATTGATGATCTTTGCTCTGCCTAGCATGGGCAGCAATTTTTTATATAACATGCCTTTGAAGGACTTACAAATTTAATACAACAAATTGTTTGTAAATACAATGTAATATGCAAGTTACTCAGATGTTGTATTTGTTTATTAATTTCCCTGCAAGGTTGGTACTTTAATCAATGCTTCAGATAAATATGGCAGTAATTCAAAATGGTTTGCGGACTACACTTTTGATTAGTTCTATTTTTTTTATTCACAATTGCTTCATCCGTTTAAAAATCATCAAAATAATAATAAAATAACATAATAATAATATATAAGAATAATCCCCATTAAATCATGATAGTTTTGTGCCAGGACGATAAGGTTAACTCACAAACACATGTCCTCGCTGTTTTTAATATGTCCTTGCATTTGGATCACGATTTTCTAGGGATAAATAGTGCAGTAGTGAAAATGGACTTGTTTTAATCTCACCTCTAGCAATCTGTTGATGAAAAGCATTCTGGAAAATATCTGAAAACGACATATTCTTATTTAAAGTGTTGAAAGCCCGGACAACGGACTTCACTACACCAGGTAATATTAAAGAAGGTCCCGTATCTTAGACAAAAGCACTCGACAACTAAGGAACAAAGCTCTACGATCGACGACACCTTTCAAAAGCATACGGCTCAAACATTTCTCAACCGTGTAGTTCCCACAAGAGAGCAGTATTTTCAGGTGGTCAGAGTAGCAACCCCCTAACCAAAAAAAAAACAAAAACCCACTGTGGTATTTAACGCTCTAAAGGGGCGACCCTTCACGCTGGAGGGAGGGGAGGGGGAGAGAAAGAGAGAGTGTGTGTGTGTGTGTGTGTGTGTGAGAGAGAGAGAGAGAGAGAGAGAGAGAGAGAGAGAGAGAAAGAGGAGAGGTGACCATATTATCTTGAGCTAACAACGAATATTTTGAGATACAACGAGACAACCCACTAATATTTTGAGTTGAAGACGGGAATTTTAAGTAAGTCAGTGTAACCCCACCCCCCCCCCCCCCACCCCCCCCACCCACTTTTTGTTTTTTAGAATTTATCATTATTATTATTATTATTAAATGTAACTAAATCTGTTAACCTTAATAAGACCTACAGATAGAGCAATAAGTGTAGATTCTGTTCTCGAGTGAATCCCTACATTTTTATACAACGCGACAACTGGCATTTTTTTTGGGGAGTACCGACGGAAAGTCAAGAACACACCTGAGAAACAGAACATATGGTCACCCTATATGTATATATATATATATATATATATATATATATATATATATATATATATATATATATATATATATATATATATATATAAAGAGAGAGAGAGAGAGAGAGAGGGTGAGATAGAGAGAGGGAGAGAGAGAGAGAGAAGGGAGAGAGAGAGAGAGAAAGCTGTATGGTAACAAACCTAGTGCAATGAAATCCAGTCTGCTTCCTTTCAAGTACCACTACAAAACCCACATATTCTAATCTGCATTTCATCAAATGACGGGTCAAAATTTAACAGGTTCAGGACAACAAGACAAATCTGCTTTGGTTTAAAAACAAGCGATAAAGGAATTTGTGGAATTTTCAAGAGACTGTAGCAAATGTATCCATATACAACAATCTTGAAAGTCAATATGTAAAGACAATGTAACATTCAAATATATATACACAAGTGAGTAACAAAAAAATTTCTCGAAAAATATACCGGGTGAATCAGAAATATGACCACATTGCTAATGAAACCAAACAGCTGAAAGGCCATAGTTCAGATTAACAATACACAACAACAATGAGTGAATTAATTGCGTCAAACTGCTCGCTTTTCACATCACAGCATAATGGGCAACATTTAAGAAAATCACTCACTGAAACATACAAACTATAGTAGAACGTGTAGCCGTATTTCTGACTCATCGTGTAGATTCTAATTTCCCACAATTGCAGCACATTTATTATTTATTTGGTTGGTTGCTCATCTGTTATTTGTCCAAAATGTACATATTAAAGTGGAACAGTTTCATTTGGTCACTAATTTGTAGAATGTTGAGTGAGAACATTTTGTAGACAGGAATGCAACGCTTTTGCTCTGCATATACATATATAAATAGTATACAGGAACATTGAAAGATAATTTTCAATCCAAACAAATCTTGCATCGCGAGTCACAAAATATATAAACCATGGTACATGATTAAAGAAAACAATGGAGCAAACTATAGCCATATTAATATTTTGTCAGATTCAAATAAATGCAGTAATATATATGAAATACAAATATGTGCTGCTTAATAATAAAAGAAAAATTATTACAGCGCGTATTATGTTTTTAAACGTAAAGCCAAAAAAAACACGTGCAATTTACAGAGTTCATGAATATAATTTGGCAAGGTTAGCTTTTTATAGCTATCTCTGTTTTTAACTATCTCTCCTGTTGACACACACGCAGATACCCCAGAGTACTAAAGTGAATCTTATCTGAACTATTTTTGGGCCAATACTATGCTATCAGTGCCAAACGTGGACACTTATATCCTCCAATGAACGTAAAATTATGACAACAGAGATGAAATGCATTAGAAGAGCTGCAGGAGTTTCAAGGAAAGACAGAATAGGAAATCATGAAATCAGACGAATGCTAGGAATAAAGCCAGTCTTACAGGTCATCAAAGAACTACAAATGAAGAAAATTGGACACCTAACAAGAATACCCTGGTACTATCTGCCACAGCGAGCCACACTAAAACGTTACAACGGGTATAGAGCGAGTGGAAGATGGAGTGATGGCATTAAGAACAGCCTTACAGAAATGAACATCAGTCTTAATAGTGCTTTTGACAGAGCTCATCAACGAATGTTACATCTCACCCCGTCACTTCGATGAGGTACAAGGTGTAAGAGAAGAGGAAGAAGTAGAAGTAGAAGAATAAAAAGAAAAAGAAGAAGAAGAAAAAGAAGAAGAAGAAGAAGAAGAAGAAGAAGAAGAAGAAGAAGAAGAAGAAGAAGAAGAAGAAGAAGAAGAAGAAGAAGAAGAAGAAGAAGAAGAAGAAGAAGAAGAAGAAGAACAACAACAACAACAACAACAACAACAACAACAACAAGAAGAAGAAGAAGAAAGAACAAGAAGAAGAAGAAGAAGAAATAGCTTTTTCGTGTCTTCCTCCAGTTACCTCTGCGAAGAACTGGGGAGAAACGTAAGAATCATTTGTGTGATCTTTCTAATGCAGCGGTTTTCAAACTGTTTTCGCTGCTGCATCCTTGTCAGGCAAATTTTGTTTTCGTTGCAGATCTACCATTAAAGCGGCTTGAATACTTAGGAGAAGAAGAAAAATAAGTGCACAATCACTTTTCGGTTGTCTTTATTGCAATGAATGAAACTGTTTGGATACATTTTCATTATTTCCTTTATTTGTATGAGAAGTCTAATTAATTTTACCCTTCAATTACTTGACCTAGAAAGTTTGCTACCGTGTCTGTTTTTATGTCAGCGTATATTGAGAAGGCACATTGTCTTCTGAATACACCTGCATCCGGAACGCTTCTTGGCTTCTTTCACGGTTTTTCACCTGCGGTCTCAAGCAATCTTAATTATTGCCGCGACACACATAGCATACGCTCGTGGCACCCCTGGGTGCAGCGGCAAATCAGTTTGAGAACCTCTGTTCTAACGTTCGCTCTCCGTCATCTATGGTAATTCGTGATTCAATTCTTATATCTTATGCGTAGGCTTCCCCTTACTCTGCGTTTGTTATATCTCTCTAATGTGGTTCTCTGTGTCAGTTAGTAATAGGGCATTTTTTTAAATGTCAGACGGCCAAACGATTTCACATGTACCAAATTATGGACAGACCAGAGCAGTTTATTATTCTTCGCCTAAGAACAAGGCACAGTCGACTAGGCCACGATATGTACACACAATTTAAACTCCATGAATCAGCCATGTGCACATACGGAGTTGCACCTGAGACAAGGCCGTCTTCAATACTGAATAGGCCTTGCCTGAGACAACAGATCACGTCCTCCAAGACTGTCCCAAATACAAAATGTCCAGGCAAACCTTCTGGCAAAGCGAGGCAACGGTGCAAGCCAAACTTTACGGGTCACGGAGTGAATTAAAAAAGACAGTAAAGTTGATAGCAAAGACACCATTGCAGAAATAGATAATTTGTTTCAAGCCAACGAAAGACGATTTCCCATATTCCTCTTTAAAAAACTGCACGACTAAATTCAGCCTGGTCTTCTCATTCTTCATTAAAACAAAAAAATTATTATTTATTCATGTTACTTTGTCAGTTCTTCGTTGTTTTAATATAATACTGGGGAAGTGGGTGAGGATGTGGGGGGAGGAGGGGGGGGGGGGGGGTGAATAATGTTGTCTTCATCTTCCTTGCCTTGTTGGCAAATGTGAAATACTAAATTAGCTGTACATTTAAGTGTTAGGTTAAAGCAAACACCTCACTCACCGTGTATGGATACATAATTCAAAACAAAGAAGCCAGTATTATCACACACCAGGCAAATATTGAAAAGAAAAACATTAACATGTTATAAGAATATCAAACTAGACACACGTGAAAGCAAGGTTATCTTTCTTAGCAAGGGGAAAAAAAAATCACTAAAATCAGTAAATAACACTTTACAATCAGCAAGCAATAACATGTTTACAATTCTGTTTCTTGGCGCCATAACAGAAAAGTTTGACTTGAGAATCTGGAGATATGGAATTGCTCCTGCGCAATGTTGCCAACCTCCCTCTACCTGGTTTTTTTTGCGGTTGGTGAGACACACTCGTTTCTCTCAGAACCCAACGGTTGTCAGTTGACACGTCTGCAGTAGTAGCCCAGCATCTTGCACTTCTCACAGAGATGTTGGGGGTGGACCTTACTCTGGTCAGACACGTCAAGGCCATCGGGTTTTTCTAGGGGTCTCTGGGGATGTAGAGGACATTTATTTAAAAAGCTTCATAGTTCACATCTAAGAACAGTTGTTAGTCCTCCCTACGTAGGCTGACCATAATATATTGAGCGGAAAAACGGGGCATGGCACTAATATTTTGACCTAAAAAAGGGACACCCCATGCATGTTAGTTCAACCCCAACTTCCATTTTTTGGTTAGCTTTCACTAGGTCACCAGTGTGAAATGGTTAGTTATTCGCTTAACAACAGTATTAGCACTTTAATCATTGTCTGCAAAGAAACCAAAGAAACACTATACTCTTTACTTGCAGCGGGGAAGGGGGCAGCACTACAACAACAATTCCCATCAATACATTTCAGGCATACAAAAAAAAAAAGTATCTAAAACGATTAAATCTATTAAGGTCTTCAGATATAACTAAAGAGAATGTTCTATTCTATAGTTAATTCGTGGATTTTTATAAAACGGAACAAATGGCGGGTTTTTTTTTTTTTTTTGGGTAGGGAGAGGAGGTAATGATGGGATATCCAGGGCACATCTAAAATACCGGACTGTCCCAGTGAAAACAGATGATATTGTCGTCATATCCCCACGTCACGTGACGTAACCGGCGGAAGATGATGATGATGATGATTGATGTTACAGGTTTAGTACAGGAGTGCTAGAGACAAACTAGTCTCAGGTAGATCAGACGTTCACCTATTTGTTAATTGCAGTATTTTAACGGGAAGCAAAGAATTATAAGCAGAACATTTACGAGACTGGAAATAACAAGAGTAGTAACAATGACAGTAACACGAGTAAGGACGAAAAAACTAAAACAAACAATAATAATATTAATTGTAACAAAAATAGCAACTAGAAAAGTAACACAAATATTAACCAGAATAGTAACCATAATAGTAACAAGAATAGTAATGAGACTAGTAACATGAAAAGAAACGAGAATAATAATTAGAGCAGTAACATAAATAGTAATAAAAATATAGCAACAATAATAGTAACAGGAATTTAAATATTTAGGAAATGAACCACGCAAGATGGCAGAACTGACACAGAAATAGAAACCAGATGTCAAAAAAGCAAGTGCACTTATATTCCAACTGCCACCAAACATCCAAACCTAACTATGAGTGTAAAGAGACAGATTATCAACACCATATTCATTCGAACATTAAGCTACCAGTGCCATACATGGACAGTATCTAAAACCCATGTATGCAAAAACATCACTTAAAATCCCCTGTGTGGGTTCCGGGGCCCCATTATGGGGAAAACAAGAATAGACCCACTGCCTCCCCAAAAGCATGTCGTAAGAGTCGACTAATTGGGGAGCTTCCTTTGAAGTCGGAGTGCATCTGCCGGAGAGGCAAGGAACCAACAGTCTGTATTCAAGAGAATGAGATCTGTAAAAACGGATGCACACGCAACACTCAGGTTCTGGAGCAGGACTGCACTTCACTAGTGGACGAGCAACCAGAACTTTCCGCCAGAGTGTACAACTGGTGAAGGTGAAGAAGAAGAAGAAGATCACTTAAAATTTGAGATGCAGCAAACCTAACCATCCAAGATCAAGTTACTGTCAGACAGACTGTGGGAGCGATACCTTGTGCTAGATTCATCGAAAAACAACAGATCAAGTGGTTTGGCAGTCACGTTAGAATGCAGCAAGATCAAATACCATCACTGGCACTACATCTTAGAAGATCAGCTACCAGATCAAGAGGATGGCCACAAGAGTTACGGATCGACAACTTTAAACAACCCTACGCCTTCACAGCATGACAATAGCCAGCGTGCACTGAATTACACATGATTCCTCCCCACACCGCTTAACGACAGAAGTGGTTTATGATGATGATGATGATGATGATGAATGGTAACAACAGTAGTAACAAAAATAGTAACAACAAAGGGGAAAACGAAAACTGAAGGATGAATAGTTACAAGAATAGTGACGCCTCAAACGAACCAGCAAAGAAGAAAGGGCTCCTTTACTAACTTTTACTTTAACTAAAGACAGATGCATTGACACTGATAGTATAAAGTGGGGATACTTGGATACTTTGGCCACATCAGTGTAATGACACAAAAGCACAGGCCTGATCTGTGATTTCTGGTGATCATGTTGGTTTGGCATTAATACAATCAAGTATCCAAGAAAGGTGGCTGGATACCCACACCAGATTTTCTCCCTAAGACTCACTTCATCGCCTCTCTAGAGAGGGACAGCGTATAATACTCAGACTAAGGACTGGGCACAACAGATTTCGTCAACATATGTTCAAATTTGTCGGTGTAGGAAACACACAGACGTGTCTCTGCAGCGTGGCACCCGAAAATGCTGAGCATGTGCTCCAACACTGTCAACTGTATGCTGATAACAGAAACGCAATCTGGCCTGTTCCAGCCACAATGAAGACAAAACTGTATGGTACACGAGAGTATATGGATTGCACGATAGCTTTCATAAAGGCTACGGCCTCCTGATATAAGTTTTCTGACAGAAGGATCGAAGAAGAAGATGTTGGTTTGGGAAACATGGCCACTTTTGTTTATCGACGGGGCACATGATAATGATGATTGTCCACTGACCTGTTTATGAGGATAGACCAGTATGTGGCACTTGATGCACTCTTGACCCATGTTGGCCCAACTGTTGCCGCTCATCCATTTCCGTTTGCACTTGGGACATTTGTACTCTCCGAAACAACGCTTCTTGCCTTGGTAGGGCGTCAGACCTTCACCTTTTGGGCGTGCCTGAAAAAAAAAACATAACGTTAATTATTAATAAATTGTGTTTCATCTTGAAGTGGATAATTCTGTCTTCGAGAATACTGGGCAAACCACCGTAGTTTAGCGGATAGACTGTCGTCTGCGGATCCCAGTGTTTTGGGTTCAGACCCTAACGGGACCCAACTCCTTTTGCAAATAGGACATTGGCTCCTAGGTCGACCCAGTCTTAATAGGGTTTTAGGTAAAGTCCTGGATGTAAAGGTGGCCGGTGTTATGTTGACCACATCACTCACCAAGTGCGGATTGGTCTATAAAAATATAGGTCTAGCCACATATATCCAATACCAACGCCCGGCTCTCTAGCGGAATTGGCTAAACCGGATTTCGCGGAGACCGGGTGACGTACTCCTTGTGGTCCGGGTTCAATCCCGGGGGTAGGCAGGAAAGCCACATTTTCTCCCAGATTTACGGTATTTACAATGGAATCAAGGCCGAAAGGTTGCGATATCCATAATACCGAGCCTAAGGGTTAACAACTCAAGGCTTCTGGATACTAAAACAAACAATCCAATACCAACAAAGGGGTGGAAAATGGTCCTTCATTTTAAGAATATAACTTGGTTAGGCCATATTTTTTTTTAATTTAAGACCCTTTTTTGATACGTCGGGGATTAGACTGATTGTTGTCTGTTTCCAGCAATTGCCGAAAATAGAAGACAAGCATACATTTAAAATCATTATCTTAATATGTCATTTTTTTTTTAAAAAAAATGTTTCATTCGGTTGAAGTTCAATATTCAAATCATATTTCCATGCTTCATGTAAATTGGCCACACGGATGTGCACACAAATCTAAGGTTCTGGGAAGAAATGAATGTCCAGAAGTGGCTGAAAAACCAGAACTTTCCGCCGGAGTTTACCGCCAGTGAAAGCAAAGTTCCAGCGGACCAAGAGATGAAGAAAAGGCGCTGGCTTTGGATAGGACACACGTTGAGAAAACGTGAGAATGGTATAACTACAATGTCTTTGCACTGGAACCCGCAGGGGCACAGAAACAAAGGAAGACTAAAGAATACACGGAAAAGGGAGCTAGAGAGTGAAGTTAAAAAGATGGGGAGGACATGTATGGGGAAAGCTGCATGCGATAGCGAAGGATAGAACGACTTGGTGTAAGTTTGTTGAAAGCCCATGCTTCACTGGGGGGTTAAAAAGGCAGCACGCGAAGAAAAAGAAGAATGCAAAGAAGAAGAATGCGAAGAAGAATGCGAAGAAGAAGAAGAATGCGAAGAAGAATGCAAAGGAGAAGAAGAAGAAGAAGAAGCAGAAGAAGAAGAAGAAGAAGAAGAAGAAGAAGAAGAAGAAGAAGAAGAAGAAGAAGAAGAAGAAGAAGAAGAAGAAGAAGAAGAAGAAGAAGAAGAAGAAGAAGAAGAAGAAGAAGAATGCAAAGAAGAAGAAGAATGCGAAGAAGAAGAAGAAAAAGAAGAAGAAGAAGAAGAAGAAGAAGAAGAAGAAGAAGAAGAAGAAGAAGAAGAAGAAGAAGAAGAAGAAGAAGAAGAAGAAGAAGAAGAAGAAGAAGAAGAAGAAGAAGAAGAAGAAGAAGAAGAAGCAGCAGCAGCAAAACAAGACAAAGTAGAAGAAATCATTACACTCGACTTTACTGTACACTTGGCATTCTCATGCGTGCTCCATTCATCAAGGTCATATCGTGGTTCTGCTCCAGCCATTCGTAGTACGACAATATTGATTCAGTCATATCATCTTAGTCCTTCAATTCTGTGAGAGTTCCAGTAAACGAATGCTCTGTGATATCGCGTCGAATGTAATTATGTAATTGCCCGTGTGAGTGATGTGCACTTTGAGTGCCTCCATGGTAAGTAAAGTTCTTGTTGTGCCGATTGCCTCATTAGATGCACCGGGAAATCCCGGCATTTACAAGAGGCCATCTTTGCTGCTTTACAACCAATAACATACATTCGTCTAAAAATGGAATTCCACCACCTGTATATCTTGTATTTAGATATAAACACACAAAACATATGCACCACACACAACACACCACATACAACACCCCACATACACACCACACACACACCATACATACTACACACACACAAGACATACACACCAAACTCATACCATACATACTACACACACACACACACCATACATACACACAAGACACATACACATCACACACATGCATATACACAAATACACTACAAATATAGACCACACACACATACACACATACACACCATAATACACACCACACGCATCCACACCACGCACATACATACCACAAACATACACATGGAGGCAGTAAGTCTGTTTCTCTCCCCCACAACTGGATCCTGAAACTCACACGCGAACAGGGTGGACAAACCATTTTATTCCCCATTTCTCCAGTAACACAGGAAGATCCCCCTCCCCCCTCTCTTATCTCTAACGCTGGTGTTCCTATCCATTCGTAGGTTGTTACAGACATTTGGGAGTCGTCCTGGTGTAGAGGCTAGTCGCTCATCTGTAGAAAAGGTCGTGGGTTTGGGTCCTAACGGAGTAGGACTTTTTTCTTCAGAAATGACCTGGCTCCAAGGTCGACCCAACACTGCTAGGAATAGTTCTGGGATATAAAGGCGGCCGGGGTGATACTGACCACATCACCCACCAAATGCTGATTGGTCTATAAGAATAGGTCTACCTTATATGCCTAATACAAATAAAGGCGTGTAAAGGGGTCCTTTACTAACTTGTACTTTTACTAAAGACAGATGCATTGACACTGATAGCATCAAGTGGGGATGAAGATTCTATTATTAATTTGATGTTTTGCTGGAACTTTCTATCACCAGTGGTAATGAATAGACAATGTGCTGAATAGTAATTAAATATAATTTGCATTTGAGATATGAACTGCATAAACATATACTTCTTCTTCTTCGTCTGTAATCTCCGGCGGAAAGTTCTGGTTGTTTGTCCACATCTGGACTCTAATCCTATTCCAGAAACTGAGTGTTGCGTGAGCATCAGTTTCACTGGTCTCACTCACATTGCCTCTCTTACGACATGCTTTTGGGCAAGCCGGCGGTCTATTCTTGTTTTCCCCCACAATGGGGTCGAGGAATCCACACCGGCAAACAAATACATAAAAGGAGAACTATGATTCATGTTTGGGAACCGTTTAATCTCCTTAAAAGAATTTAAAAAAAAACACTGTTTGGAGGATGGTGGGAGGCTTCAAAGACCCATTACCTAGATTCTTACATGCTGGGAAACTGATATGCAATACAATCTCATTGCTCAGCTGTTATGTCTACGGTGACTTGACAATCCTGTCTAGTTACTGACACCTGCTATAAACAACATCAAACTTAAATGGAAATGACATGGGATGTATTTGAGAGGGTGAATTAATAATAGAAATGTATGGGCAGCCCCTGGTTGTAGTACAGTGTTTTTTTTTTTTTTTCATTTATAGAACACAGGAGAGGGCAGGCAATAAATTTAACACATCGTTAGATTAAAGGAACAGATAATCACGAGAAAAGGCACTACAATTTGAAATAAAGGTAATGAGAAAGAATATACCTCCAAAAGAAACACTAAAACGAACGTGGATGAGAGAGGCCAAAGGTGCTGGACTGGATTTAATCCATGATATCGAAAGGATTGCACGGGACAGAACAGAATGGGGGAATAGACCGTGAATCCTATGTGATATGTGATGGTACAACAGGAAATGTATGGTAAACACCGTAGATAATATTCAGTGGATGAACAGAAATTACAAGTGGGAATTCTAAGTGTGTTCCGGGGTACTCTATTTACTTCCTTTGAAAAGGAAAATTTCAACAAAAATTTACATTTAGCTGTTTTCTTCCTTGAAACCACATATCTATATGTTATTTTGTTTTTCTTTCAGAAATACATGTGTCCGTCATTAGATTGTTAAAAACTGGTTTTAGTACTACAGGGACTGACTGACTTTCTACCCCGCCAGGACATCACACAAGCGATAAACACCCGATGACACAATGTGCCACCATGTGGGTGAGGATCACCGTGGAGAGGTCCCAGAAACCGCGTTCAGCCTTTAGGCCATATTTACGGCCAGGCTATTTTGCGGCCCCTGGCAAAAGCCAGAGTAGGGCTTCAAATAACGAAAAATGTCATCCTAAAAAGGTCGAGAAGTTACCACCTCAGGGAATGCTTCTGGTGCACTTAAAGGCAATGACTAAAGATAAGGAAGCGGCGGAAACAAAGATGAAATAGAAGGCAGGATATTAAATATAGGGTTTTAGTAGACCCCCTATTTTTACTAGGCCTACATATAGGCCAGCAGTGGAAACCGAGATGAGGTAGAGGACAGGAGAATAAGACTTTCCTTCACAATTTCGGGCGGGCAAAGCCGGGTAGTATAATCTATATCTATATGAACCTCTAAAATGTTAAAATTATGAATGTTTCTTTCAATACACACTGAAACAAAAATGCAATGTCAAACAAAAATTTTTTTTATTGCATTTGTTGAAAGAAAAATTAAATATCGTTAAGGCCCTGGCAAATTGAGTTAAGTCAAGAATTGACATCACAGCACTTGGCGGGTTCCCATGCGTGCTCCGTCCTCATCTTCAGGAGCCAGCGAAGAGTTCCAACACGTCCGTCTGCATATTCTCCAGATATAAATCTGAAGCTGGCCGTGAGTTCCAATACTGATGATACCGGTCACAATCCGGTTATATGTCCGTCTTGCTTTTTCTCTGAGTGTAGTGAGCCGGCCAGATCCTCTGGTTACACCCAAGTGCCTCATTCTCTCCAGGCCATAATAATTCTCTATCTCTACTGATTCAGTTGCTTGTTCCCAAAAGGTCTTGATCACATCTGCCTTGTCATGTATCAATTCACCACCCAGTGGTGCAGATCCAGCTAAGCTGTCTGCTTGTTCATTACCCACCACACCATGGCCTGGAGAAAAGATCTAAAGTGTGCTTACTACCCCTGACCTTCCCAGTGAAGTTTGCCATTCT